GTCAGGAAGCCTATAGATCTGCTCAGAGACAAAGCTTTACATTCAGTTAAAAAAGAAAGGTTACATAGCTTAGGCCAGACTGATATGTCTTCATGTGATTTCTCTTTTCCCAGAGTATAAATAGGTAGAGATCTGTTTGGTGGGGCAACTGCAGGATTAAACGAAGGGTCGACCAGGGTTGTTGGGTTTGTGATTTTTAGGTTAAAAGGAAAAAAAAATGCGCACTGTTTGAAGATTTGTGATGATTAAATTTGTGGCAGTTCTTGTTTTGCTAGAAGGTTGTCACAGTGCTTTGGACAGTTTTTGTTCTCTGTAGGTGAGATTTTTTTTAAAGTTTTGCATAAAAATAGGTTTCAAAAAGTTGACGCTTCTCTTTTGTTGAGGTCGGCCCGCCAAATGACCACAGCACCGGCTTTGTCGGCCACTTTAATAACTAGTTTTGGCATTTTATAAGACTTTAAGTGCCGCCCAAGAGATGTTGAAAAATTTGTTGTTCCGATTGAAATTGCATGACTGGATATGCACCAGACTATTTGAAAACAGAGGAGATATATCTCGCAGGACAACTCATAGCTCTCGCCCTCTAAACATCCTACTTTTTAAAACAGCATTTGGACAGAGAACAATTAACTATGGAATGGTTTCCTCGTGCAACCAGTTGGACTATTCTTTTAAACTTTGCTACTCAATCTAGGTTTTAAACGCAGATTAAGAAGTCAGCAGCTGGAACGGTTCTTGCGGTCCTAGTCCGTAAGCTTGCAACCACCTGCCTTTTAGACATCTAGATCTAAAATTTTTACATTATACATTGAATTAAAGCTTGCAACAACCAAATTTTTAATGTTAAACTCTAACCACCAGATTTACATGTAAGGTTCAAATTGTCTATTTTTTTAAAGTTACCTAAAACATAATGTTCTTGATTTTCAATTGTATAATTGTTGCTATAAAACTCTCTTAGGGATGTGTCACTGAAGTTAATTGTTTATTGTTCATTGACTTGAAACTATCTTTGTTTGAGTTGTTAAAGTCCTTATTTGGCTTAACCAAACCTCGAGCTCATCTTCTCTGTTCATGACCATCTTTTGTAGCTTCCTCAGAGGCTTGTCAGACAACTATGTTTTTGTTATTTTCTTAAATAAAATAGCAAAATTATTCATCTCCTACCTGCTATTACTAAACTGTTCGCGTTATCTCATTCTCGGGGGTGTGACATGGTCATTTGCGCTAATTGGCATAACGGAAATGCGACATTATATCACCATGGTGATGAATCCCAAGTAAAGGTTTATTAAGAATCCATAACTTAATTGACGTGTCATTTTCATTTTGCTCCGGTGATGAAAATTTACTGTGTACAGTCCTTACGTCGATTTTCCGATTTATACCTACAATGTCTGGCCTAAGTTCCTTTAACGTCGCAACCAAGCCTGGAGATGTCCTGGACCAAAGCTTACTATATCCAATATGGTAAGACTACTTTTTTTCCTTTTTGATTTTGGAGCTCTGAGTCATTCAGTGTTTGAGTTTTGGCATTTCAATTTCAAGCTAAATGGAACATTGCGAGGAAGGAATTAACGAGAAACGCTCTATGAAGGCACAAATCGTTGTAGTTTTATTTGAACCTAACCCACCAGAACTTGAACTAGACTGGCAAGTATATTGTTAAAGAAAGATGCTATTCAAATTGGAACAACAACAACAATAAAAAGCTACTATCAAAAATTCTCAACAATGAAAAAAAGCTACCTGCAAAACTTCTTGGCTACTCCAAACGATTTCATCTTTGGAATAAGGCACCGTTTGCTTTGACTTATTACGCATTGCAGTTCAAATTTTTGGCCTTTTTTTTCAGTACAAACTACAATTTTTTTGTCAGTTCTGTTTCATTCCAATAAGGAATTGATGAATCAGCCTGTGTCCATGCCTTGCAGGCACAGTGCTTGTAAGACCTGGCTTCTGGAGATGATCTCCAAACAGAGCATTGGCTCCAGACCTTGCACCTGCCCGCTCTGTCGAGCAAGGATCGAAGGGGACAAGTTAAACGTTAACGTAACAGTTAGCGCTTTGATTGGAAGGATCCAGGTGCGTTGCACTAATGTCGGCTGCTCCTGGGTTGGATTGCATAGCGAGAAGGAAACGCACATGGACACTTGCCCCTTCATGGTTATTGACTGCCCCAATGGACCTCGTGGCTGCTTGGTTAAACCAGAGAGGTATGCCCTGAACCTGCACATAGCATCCTGCCCCTTTGGAAAAATGCCTTGTTTTCATTGCCACATAGGAGTGGAGAGATCAACAGTTGTTAGCCACGAGGACAACTGCCGAGAAATTCCACGGCCCTGCCCACTTTAGTGTGGAGAACAGTTACCAAGGTAAGTTTGTTTGACAGCCAAGACACTTGATCCATTTCTAGTTAAGGTTACCCAAAACTAGACAGTAGGACACTTACAAACGTAATTCGAGATCCGAAACTAACAGCAAATTTAAGGCGATGCATAAAGCGATGGAAAGTAATTGAGAGAAACAGTTTAAATGGTTAAGAGATAGATCTGAATGGTTTATGGTCGAGTTGCCCGAAGTCATGTCGCCTGGAACCTGAGTTGTGTTGCCCGCAAAAATTCGGCGGCCATAGAATCAAATACGTTAAAAGATCAGATTTTCAGACTGCAATTTGGCAATTAAACGAGAAATCTTTTTATGAAAGCGCCATTTGTTTCAACACCATGAAGATTCTAAAAGCGTTGTTTGTTTCTAACAACAAAATGAAGCGGTTTTTCTTTTTACTCATTTCGTACCACAGACTTTCTGTAAAAGCTTGAGAAATTTTATCTTGGTTTCTGACATTGCCAAGAAGACTTCGACTGCACAGAAATCGATCGTTTGTTCAGAACTGATATGTGTTTGAGTAATGATTCGGAAAGCATTGTTCTTTTCTTACAACAAAAGGAAGCGTTGTTCGTTTCTATAGGAACAAAATGCAGCACACGGGCCTTTCGTACTCTGTCGATTTGTACCCAGTGGGAATCGTTTCGTTCCCAACCCGCTAGTATATTGGCACTCAGCCGTTCAGAAACATCGCTTATTTCACTCAACCTAAGATTGCGAATTATTAAAGTGTCATTATTAAAATTATTATTAAATTCCTAACACCGAAAGGGAATTGGTACTATCAGACGACTATTGTTAAAAAAAAACAATAGAATATTGTTCAAAAAAAATACCACACTTACCTTATGCAAGCTAGTAAGTTATTTGTAACGAAGTTCACAAATAGATACAGCAGAACTTTATTTGCATGCTACTCACTTGACTTTTTACTTAATCGTAGCACACGATAATCGAAATTAGTTTATTACGGTTTGGATCAGCTTACAAAACGTCCATGTGCTTTATTTTTGTTATAGAAACGAAATACGCTTCCCTTTTATGTTAGAAAGGAACAAAGCTTTTAGGTTCGCTACTCAAACATATTTTAATTCTGACTATATGATAGATTTCTTTGTAGTCGAGGTCTTCTTTGTTTAGTCTGTAAGTTTTTTTTTTCAGGTGACGATTACATTATTTGACAACACAACTCAAGTTCTTGGTCATTTCTTTGTTTACTTCTTCTGGAATTTGATGTTTTATCAAATAAAAATCCGCAGGATGATGATTTTATAGTGGTGCATCGCTTGTCTGCTTTACAATGTATGAACGCTAGGAAAAGGATTACTACCCAATCTTGTAAATGTAATGGCTTGATATTTAGTTGAGCAAAGAGTTTGTTCAAAGTCATTATTGATGCATTTAACTCATTTGTTCATGTTTACAGATCGCACATCCACCTGCACCTTTGCGATTGTCCACAACGTGTGGTAAAATGTAGAGTAAAGGGGTGCCACAATTTTTACGTGCTTGAGGAGGCGGACCACAATAAACAGTACCAAGAAAGTCACCAGGTGCTGCTGAAGCAAGAGGTGGAGAGGCTAAGAGGAATAATATTTGATCAGGTGGGTGACGTTCTTCTGATTATAAAAAGGAGATGAATTCTCTGCGAGAAATTTCAATGGAACAAGCTGCTACAGACGTTTACCTTGATATAGTGTAACATTTATAGTTTCAGTTTATTCTTCTGTATCATGGCTGCCACTCTTTTCTTTTCCTCAATGGTCTACATGGCAGAATTCTAAATTTTTAAGAAGATCTTGTTGTTTCTGTTGCTGCAGCAAACGAAGAGTGTAACGATTTACCTGGTGTGATAAACGTTGCCAATGGTTACGTTTCCGAATTCTGTCAATTCTAAAGCTTGCGAAGGCGGTATTGTCAGTGCAGTTGTCTATTTCAATGCTTAATTGCAGTGGCTTGCACGCTATTGTTTACAGAGGCGGAGTTTCGCATATATTAATACACTCGCCGGAGTTTTAAAAATCGGTCAACCGTGTTTCTTGACGTAAAATTTAGGGTGGCCAAAGGTTGCTTAAAAAAAATCGGTTTTGATGGTACTTCTTAGCCTCGTACGGCAGAGAAAATTTTCACAAGCCCTCCTGAGACATGGAAGTAACTTTTCCATATGCTGACTCTGAAGTTTCGCTAATACTTCATCGGATTTTTCAACCTGGAGATCACCTTCCATACTGAAATGCATCTAAAATTTCTAATTTTCAAAGCGGTTTCGATAATGGTTATAGTAACCGCAGAAAACAAACTTTAGTATTAATTTGTTCATTGAAACCTCTTCAACAAAACCCACATGCCGGCAAATAGCTAAGGCAATTAGTTTTTTATCAAGAGTGAAAAACACAGGTGCAAGTGGGCGATTCATAGCCATTTTCTCTATTTTTTTGCTCTCTTTTCTTGGAGGACGGTTCAAATTTACCGCCGATGGACTTAAAAGGTACCTGGATGTGTCGCGGCTTCTGCGCGATGAGTACGCGGAGCGTTTTGAGGAGAAATTTGACTGTATACTGACTTATATCTTGCTGACTTTTTTCAGGCTGATGAAACAGCACACAAAGTTTTAAAAATTAGAAAGAGTTTTCATTGGGCTGTTAAAATGGCCGACCTGGCTGATGGCAAAGATGCCGCAAGTCCCTTCTTCAATGTAGAAAGAAATACGTTGAGATTCATTTGGGCGAGAAATTTGACTTCTCAGAAGTTTATGTCGGAGCAGCTGGTCTCATCAATGCCACTCACGATCAGTTTAAGGTAGGGACAGGTTAGACTTAGGCCACATTTGATGTAAGCAAAAAAATAAAACTCATCCATTTCCTGACAAAAAAAGACTCCATTTCATGATCTAGATTCGATGTTGTCTGTTAGCGGTACTTTTCTCTCTTGCGATTGGCTATCGATAGTGGCTATCGATAGTGGCTATCGATAGTGGCTTTTCTTTTCTTTTTTTCTTTTTTTTTTTTCATAATTGATAGCAAACTAAATGGCGTTACCAGCCAGTTGCACTTTACCTGTGGTTAGCTTAATAAGTTGAGGAATATTTCAAAAAATTAATCAGAGCTAATTCAACAGCTCCTTACTTTATTTATTTTTTTCAGAATTGCATTACTTAAAGATGAGGGGGTGCAGAAAGTGGTTGAAACACCTCGTCCAACGCTTGTAGACGAAGGGGGTGTTGTCAGTATGGATGTAGACTTTGGACAGCACCCGAATGACCAGGATTTGGAATTTAAAATAACAGTAGACATCTACGGCCACGTATAGCTCACTCCAGATTTTTAGTAATTGATTATTCGCCCAAAATATTTGAAGAATTAGGATTCTAACAACGGGGTTGGCTGTACTTTTTTACGATACTTTTCACTTAAACTCCAAATTGGTTTTTCTTTGAGTAGAAACTTTTTGTAAAGTTTTAAGTATGTTGTGTTTTTCAATAAACGTCTGAATAAGTTGCAAATACTAACTACTCTTATTTCACGGATAACCTTAAATCGCTACAAAAATGAATTCAGAGGCGGAAAAGTGGACGAGAGAAAAGCATTTTAATTGAGATTCAAAGGAGGAGGATACTAACCCTGACCCCTCCCCACCTCCCTTTCACAAAAAGAAAGAGAACCACAATGAACACAATATTCTTCTCGCAACAGTAAAATATACCAAGGCAACCTCAACCTTAAAGGAGATGAATAAGATGCTTCTTCCTACCCACTTGGGGTACCATCCAGAGGCTAGCCTGGAACCGACAGACGTGGCGATCCTTTGTAGCCACGCTACGTGCCACACGGCATAATGGGCATGAGTGAGTGAGTGTCCTATTGGTATGAGAGTTATAAGTTTAAGGCTTTCAAATCCTTCTAAAATGTTCAAAGTATCTCATAGGTTGAGACGAAAAAAAAGGGGTTTTCACGAAGTTTTAAAGAGTCCAATTGCTAGAGTGGGTCGAGTCTTGTTCCATGGAGGAGTGACCAAGAGCGCATTTTCACTTTATTGCAGAAGCTCAAAGACGCAACTGGTTAATGAAGTTTGGGATTAACGGACTTAAGCAAACATTTGAGTTCACTGCCACTATAAAAATCTCGAGAAGTAGGCGAATGTAAAAATTAAAATGTTAACTATTCGGTATCAGTTTTCTTATGACACCGTTATCGAGCTCACTGTAATGCAGGAACTAAGTAAGAACGCTTTCTTACACTTGTGTATCCCCCATAAATGGGTTCTCTATTCTTTCTTATATCGTGGCTGCTAAACTACCGAAAATTATGAAACTTCGTGACCAGATGATGACGCAACTTTTTTGGGTCTTAACCTCTCTTCCCCTCAACCCCTCCCCTGTTAATATGAGAATAATCCAGAATATTTAAAAGAGATATCATGGTAAGGGATGGGACATTCATTTTATTGTTGAAACAGGTGTATGTTAGAGTCTAACAAATGCTCTCCTCCCTTGACGTTCCCTTTCTACCACATATTTAAAGATAACTTTCAACATGCCATTGTAAAGTGCACATGCCATTTGCAAAATTTATTAAATTTCATAATTGATAAATACGCATGATTACCAGCTGATTAATCATAACCACTAAATACTTAATGGATAAAAAAACATTAACATAATTAGAATACAAACTATTTTAAACACTTGCATTAATTTTTTAACCCTCTAACCCCTAGAAGTGATAAACAACGATCCAGATCTACCAATCCTTACACCAGCAACCTTCCTGTTTCAGCAGACCATGCACCTTCCTGAAGACCAGACCTGGCGCACACCAGACAAGGACCTACGCAGATGAGCACGATTCCTTCAGACCTGCAAGGATCACATGTGGACAATATGGCAACGCGAGTATCTGACAGCCATTAGAGAGCGCCATAACCTATTTCACAAGACAGCAAACCACAAGGTAAAAGTTGGAAATGCA